CAGATATTGTCCAAGATTAACCTTCAGGGTGGATATAGCTCGCTAGCAGCCTCACACCGAGGACCTATCCACTTCATCATTTACCCAGAATGCTTTGTGTGGAAATAAAATGGCTCTGTCCGTGTAATATATTTTTAAACTTTTAGCTTAAAAATTAAAAAACTAAACAACCTACAGTATTTTTAGTCTTTATTTTACAGTTAAAATATATGTTTATCAAATAAAGTCTAATGTTACAGCTAATCGGGGATCCTTTAAAGTGACTGAATCAGTTCAAAGTCTGCAGGTGTAAAAAATAAAAGCTCTAAACAGAACTCCAACCTTTATTCGTGGTCTCGGGAGGAAGAACTTTGATCTTGGGTTTCCTTCCTCTTTTGCCAGGAACCTTTACAGGAACCTGAGCTGGCTCTGGGGCCACCACCGGGGCCGGTGTTTTGGGTCCCGCCACATTCCTCTGATCGGTCTCTTTCCTGCGGCGCTCCTTCCTCTCTTTGGGCTCCTTGCTCCTCCTCAGTGTCAGCACCATCGGCCCCTTCTCCTCCTTCCATTTCTTTGGTTTGCTGCTGTCCTTCTCCTCCACGTAGACCCCTCCCCTCTCCCACTCCCTCCTGTCCTTTTTCTTCCTCTTCTTCTTCACCCGGCCTCCTCCTCCTCCTCCTCCGTCGTCCTCCTCGCTCAGAGAGGACGGGGGTCGTGGGGCTCCTCCGGAGTGCTTCATGGCGTGGACCCCGGTCGGGGCACAGTGATTGGGCGTGGCCGCACTGCCCACGGGGGCCAGGAGGCGGAGCTGGTCCTTGGGGCCGACGACCAGGTGCCCCCGGGGGATTGTGGGGACCGCGGTGTGTGCGTTGCTGTCTTGGTCCGAGGCGGCAGCAGGTGTGGCCGGAGGAGGCGTGTGCTTCAGGAGGCCAGTGAACATCTGTGAAACAGAAAAAAATCATTGTTTGTTCCTCGCTAATCTCCATAAATATTATTTCAAACTAGAGAATTACATTTCCTGCGAAAATGCTAGTGTGAACGCCTGTTGCTGAAAACTTTAGCTGAAAGCTGCAGAAACTGAGCTGAAAATGTTTAATAGCAAAAGTATTATTGTAAGTTAAACTTAGAATTCTGAAAGAAGCAAAAAAAAAAGCAGGAAATCAGTAAAAAGTAGCAAAAATATAGCCGATTTAGCATAAAAACAGCTAAATGCTACATTAATTCAACATGGCAGAAAGCAACTGTAAGGAGCATAAATAACTCAAAATAGCAGAAAGAAGCACAAAAAAGTAAAAATTAGCAGAGGTATAACAGAAAAGGGCAGACATATAGCTAAAATACTAGTAAAAAGCTAAAATTAGCAAAAAAGTAGCTAAAATTGTCACAAGAAATTTAATAAGAGCAAAACCAGAATATAATGTGTTAGGTTCTGTAAAGATTTAGAAACATTATGAAGAAATTTAAGGATGTTGAATAAAGCTCCATTCATTTCCAATGGGAAAAAGTAGCCGAAATAGCTTTGGCTACCCTTCATTTCATTTTATTTTAATTCATTTTACTTTAATTCAGTTCATTTTCATATATATGTGCATGCATTTTTTCTCGTTTTCTCTCATTTTGTTTTATGTTTTGAATGTATTTTGTTTTTGTTTAAATGAAAATGAAATGAATAAACTGAAATTGAAACTGAAACTGAATTAGCATAAGGAGCACAAGCTTTCTGAATTTAGCAGAATTGAGGTGAAAGAGCTACAAAAAATGTGTAACTAGATTAGAAAGCTAATTTTGGCTAATAACAGCTAATGTTTAGCTAAATTTGTAGAAAATATCTGAATATAGCAGAAAGCAACTGTAAGAAGCATAAATAGTACAAATTAGCAGAAAAATGCACAACAAAGCAAAAAAAGCAGAATAGCAGAAATAAGAACTATAATTGAAATAGCAGAAAAAAGCTAAAATTAGCAAAGTAGTAGCTAAAATTAGCACAAGGAAGTTCAAAAGAGCATAATCAGAACAAAGTGTGTAAGGTGCTGTAAAGATTTAGAAACATTTTGAAGGATTTTAAGGATGTTGAAAATAGCCAAATTCCTTTTCAACGGCTAAAATGTGGCTAAAAAAGTGAAATAGCTAAAAAAGTATAAATAGCAGAAATACCAAAAGTCATAGCTGGAATGTCCTGAATGAGCTGAACGTTTTGATATAAGAATTGTTGAAATAGCATAAAAATTGTAAAACAAGAACGAGGCCAAAAAAAACGTACAGAAAAAAAACATAAATAGTGTGAATGTTGTGAAGCATTGATTAAACTTATTTACACACATGTTCATAGGAGGATGTCAAAACAGAAATAAAGTTTTAAAAAGTGACGTACAGATGAAGCAAGAGATATTAAATGGATGAAAATGCTTGCAGAAAAAAAAGGAGATTTTCCCATTCCAAGCATGTTGTTGCTTCTGTTGTGTGAATCACGCTGTGACTAAAACACTTAACATGCAGAATATTCCTCCATCAGCCCGCAGGACGTTACAGCCTCGCACTGCACGGACACCGGGGCGTTAAAACCTTTAAATCAGCTGCTAAACATCAACAAATCAAAGAAAAACGGTGACGAGTCTGAGGAACAGCATCCTCGGCCCAACAAACCCTCGTCCACACGGGAACGGAGCTCTGTGAAACACGCTGAAGCCACGCCCTCACCCGGCTCGTCCCGCTGCAGACGTCAGAGCCAGGACTTCCAACCAAACCCAACAAACTGAACGTCAGAACTTCAGTCCAACCATCCACTGCATTGTTCCTATCTGCATAAATAATGCCCGTCATAAATATTCATGACAAGTAGGCGGACCTGAAGGTCAGAACAGCGTGTGGGCCAAGATCCATTTAGATCAAAAACACAGAGAAGCTCCAACATCCAACGCTTGATTTGGATTAAATCAGCTGATTCCAGAGTCGTCAAAGCTTTTAGAGCGATCCCCGATTAGTTGTAACATTAGACTTTGACAAAAATATATTTTAACTGTAAAATAAAGACTGTAAAAATACTGTAGGATGTTTAGTTTTTGTCATTTTTAAAAATATATTTTAACACGGACGGGGCCATTTTATTTCCACACAAAGCATTCTGGGTAAATGATGA